AAGTTTTGAGTTGTTTCTTGAAATTATTTAATCGACGTGAAAGATAATGTAATTTCTTTTTCTTTTTTATCTTAGAAATATTATGATTACTATTAATCAAGAAGATAAATCATTCTCTTGTAAATCAAGAATAGAGAATGGTTGTGTCGATAGATATTCAGTCGAATGAAAACTTGATGAATCTAACAGTAAAATAAAACAGTTTATATTCTATAGTTTAGTGAATTTTAGTGGCATACTTGGTGCTAAATCTTCGTGTGTTAGTGAAAGATTATTATCAATTTGATTTAAAATAACTTCCATTGATTTTGAGATATTTTCTTCATTCATCTTCTCTTCAGTATTCGATGAATTCGTTTTTAATTCATCCAAAGTTTGACTCTCGAGTAAATGACTAATTCCTGTATTAATATTAAATATAAAAATAATTAATAATAAAAAATAAATAAACTAATTTGTTTACCATATTCATCAACAGCATAGATTAGAATATTTAATAATGTTATCTGTTTGCCTGGATTGTTATTGTCGACATCCTCCAGCTTGCACATGTTGAAATAAAAAACAGAAACGAACAAAATTTATAACGGACAATATACAAAATGGAATATTTCCATAAATTATCTATACATACTTTTGAATGTTCAAATGAAGAAACAATTAAAAGATGTCCGTAATGAACTATATATATCTGATCATGTTTTAGACAGAATAGTATGCAACTAGTAGGAATATGTATTATATTAGTCTATAATAAAGAGAACGAAAGTACTTTGATATGAAACTATTATGATAAATGACAAGAGATAGTTGAAATTTGAATAGGAACTAGTAACAACAATACTAAATTATCCATAAATAAGAAACGAGGTTATAAAGAATGGCTTGGTTTCAATAATCGACTTTCATCAATTCTATTACCATTTGCTATAGCTTTACTCACAATAGTTATAACGATACAAGAAAGTAAGAAACAACGAAATGAAACAATACTTTCCAATTATTTAAGAGGTATGTCACATTTAATTCTAAAATACGGTCAGCAATTAGATGATCATAAAGCATGTATAACAGCTTCATCTATGACCTTCACGGCACTTGAACAATTTATAATTCGTTATTTACATCGAATGACATTTATATTAATTAGTACAGATTTACGCAATATCGAATTAGAAAATAAGCTTATCGTGATCTTTATTTACCACATGTTGATTTAATACATGCATCATTTATTAATCTTCAAGTTGAATATGCAAATGTGACTAATGTAGATTTTACAAATGCTAATATAAGTAATGAACAATTACAGCAAGCTGCTTTTCTTAATCATGTTATTATTTTTCCTAATGGATCATTTTTTCAATATGAAAAATATAGTCATAATGTTTTATCAGTAGATAATTGGATAGATAATGGAACACTTGAAAATAATTTATTTATATTGAAGTTAGGTTTAATAATTTTTATATTTTTATAATTAAAAAGAAAGCTAATACAGGATTATTATATACTATAGTCAATAGATGAAATGAGATTGTACATTTAAACTTTTGATTCTTCTGTTAATATTTTCCAAGTACCGACATTGTCTACATTTCGAGAAATTATCATACGAATACAAACAGTTATACCAAAGATTATTGAGCCTAAAAGAATAAGACCAATTAAAGTCATCACAGTAATAAATACGATTTGTATAATTTCAGTAAGTTGTTGTTGATGATCAACTTTATTACTTAAACGATGAAATATGCGTGTAAATGGTGAATTAATAGTTGATAAATCTTCAATAACATTATTTTTCTCGTCATTATGTAGATCACTACTATGAATTGAATATACGAATAGTTTCTTTCAAAAATCATTAGATAACAGACTTACAAAGATATTGATTTTGGTACGAAGTCTTCATTTGTCATTGCCGGAATAGTTGATGTTATCAATTCTCTATAATTAATAAATAGATATACAAAGATTTTATTAATTATTATAACTTACGTAGGACGATTAGTAAGTTGAGGTTGATCTAGTGTTGTTGTATCTATTGTATTTGTAATTGTTTCTATAATTTCAACAGCTAAATCATTGAATTAAATATTAATTTAAACAACAATAAAAAATGCCTCTTACGTGTATCGCAATATTCTCCTTGGTATCCATCTGAACATATACATTGAAAACCTTTTATATCTGTTGGTTCATCGATGCAATGACCATTATTCTTACATAAAGCTGAATTGACTTCACATGGTTCTTATCAGAGAATGATATATAATATATTCAAGAAGAATTTTTCTATTTACTTATTTCACAATTAGTTGTTAATGCATTGTATCGTAGACCTGGTTTACATTGTATAAGTGTATTTTTACCATCATTTTCACATATTATAAATGCATCAAATCTATTTGCTATAGGTAGATGTGTACCAGGAGCATAATCATTACAGATTGTATCTAAGAAAATGAATACATAATTTAGTAAGAAAACAAATATTTGGTTTTATCAATACTTGATGTAAGTGTTGAAGTACTATCAATTGTATCTTCGGTTATTTCTACTTCTAGTGGTGGTTCATATTGACAGTTGACCTGAAGAGATAAAATAAAAAAACGTTTTATTTCAATAAATACATCTATATATATGTGTTAAATAGACAAACTAATTGAGGAGGTGAACACATAAATATTTTTGGATCAAAATGAAGTCCATCGGGACATTTGAATATTTCATGTTGTTTATTTCGATGACAATAATGAAACAATGCACAATCAAGTACATCTGGATAGATTCCATTTTGAGTACATTCTGATTTTTCAGATTTTCGACGATGATAATAATCATAACCTAATAAAATAAAACATAAATTTTCATCTTATGATTTAGTTTTATTTACCTTTAACTGATTCTGCAGATGAAAATAGATCATTATCCGTCATTTTCTTAATAATTTGAGTACATGTTGTATCTTTTTCCTTTAATTTACAATAATATTATATACTAATGAATAAAACAAAATAAAAATTACTTACAGTTGATAAATATTGACATTTACCAGTAGTTGGATTGAAAAAGAATTGGTCAATACAAGAATAAGTTGTTAAAATACCGAATGTACACATATGAAAAAGTGAACAATTAGTTGTATGTGGATATGCTCCACTTTCGACTGGACATTGTTGAAAATTAGGATCATCATTTGATGTAAGCAATGGTATTGGAAAAATAGTTCCTAATGATTATAATATACAAGAAAACAAAACGAAAATGACGTCATCTATTTTACCAAATTCTGATTCACAGAAGATCGTATTAACTTGTATATAAATGATGATAAAAACGACAAAAAATACCATACGCATCTTTCTTCTGATTGTTACAATACTAAAATGAATATGTACTTCAAGAATTACATTAACGCACTTAACAATATCGGTCGCGCTTGATTTGATCGTAAGACTGTCATAGTAATAGGTTATACGCTTTACATATGTATATATACATATATATATATATATATTCAATGTCTAAGTACATTAAACACGCGATTACTCATTAATATATATATTCTCAACCATCGATCAAAAAGTTCAATCATTACATCAATAATTCGTTCGCTTGCTTGACCTTCCTACTCGTTTCTTGTATGATATATGCAAATGTATAACAAAGACACTTCATTGTACAAATATTCATATTAACAGATATTTCATCGATGATGAGATCAATTTAATCAAAATAGTTTAGAAAATAATGTCCTTGATTTTGACACTTATTTAAAATTTAGTATATAAAAGAAATGTAGATATGTTAATAGTTCATAAAGTCTTTCGAAGACAAAAATAAAGAAATGAAAGTTTTATTTTTAAACTATATTAGTATCATAGTATCCATTTCAAAGGTTTTTACTTTTAATTGGTAACAAAGATAAATTTTTTTCCAAAAACTTTTATTTAGAATATTTACAATTCTTATATTACAAAAAAAGGTTAATTATAAGTACTACCATCGATACTTCTTCTACGTTGATTATACCTTTCTGAAGTACATGTACATTTTGATAATAAATTCCAAACATCTCGACGAAATTGCATTGATATAAGATAATGAACAATAAATTTATTTGAATAATTTATTGCCATTAAAAGTAAACAAAATTTCATTAACATTTTCCATTGAGCAAATTTAACACAATCAATTTTCGATGTTTCTGTTATATTAATATCATCATTAAGAAAATATGAATAAAAAAATTGAAGAATATTCATTGGTATAACACTTAATGTATAATATATTGAATAGATAACAAGTAAAAGTGAAGCTGTACGCATATGTCTTGTACCTGTTGTTTCACTTGTTGTTGATGGACGACGATAAAAACGATTTCTTAAAATAACCATTGAACATACACATATTACTATACATGGTATAAATGCTAAAAGACTAACACGTATAAGAGGCCAAATTTTACCATGCCATAATTGAGCATATGAATAATATTCACAAACATGATATGAATAAGAAAAATAAAATGAAAAATGATATTGAATAATAAGAAGTGAAACAAATATTATAATACATAATATTTTAATTAATGCTTTGGTTCGTGTTACAAATGTTGAATAATGACTAGGATAAACAACAATAACAAAACGATCAATAGATGCAGCTGTTAGTAAAAGTGTAGAAACATTCGACGACCCAATTATTAAACTATAATATGTTCCACATGTAAGAACATCACGAGGATCACGTATTAAAAATAATGATGAACACCATAACCAAAAGACAACTAGAATTCATATATATATATAGATTTTGTGGTTCTGTCAATAATATAGTTATATTAATTTTCTTTCATTCATCAA